TTTTTTCTTCTTCCCCCTACATGACCACACACTCTCCATCAGTCTGCTTGTTGACATTCGATCGCGACATCCGTGTCTTTTGGTGCTTCGGACCACCTCTCTTAAGGACCTCGAGTCGTTCTCGTGCCTTGGTGAAGTTTTGTGCTGTATACCAATTAGTTCTCAATGTCTTCGAGGTCGGAAGGTATCTACTCACCTGCTGCTCGATAGTACCAACGTTTGGCTTCTTCGATGTCCACTGCCGTGCCAATGCCGACCTCGCTGAAGTAGCCCATTGCATACTCTGCCTTGGCAAGGCCCGAACTCGCGGCTTTCCGTGCCCACAAGAATGCCTCCATGTCGCTTTGTGTAAGCAGCGGTTCTGACCCTGTCAAGTACCAACCACTCAGCGCCAGTTCTGACTGATGCTCTCCTTGAGCCGCCGCTCGAGTGTACCATGAAATGCTTTGACGAGCATCGATCGGGCAACCGAGCAACCCATACTCATACGCCGACCCAAGCCGGAACTGCGAGTATTTGTAGCCCAGGTCGGCAGCTTGCTGGAACAGCTGAAAGGCGTATTTCTCGTCGCGCACGATATGGTCCGTGGACGAGGCCGATTCGTAAAGGAGGCCCAATTCATGTAACGCGTGAGGATTATCCTTATCCGCCCGTTCGGCAGCTCTCTTCAGCCACGACACTGCTTCACGTGGATTCTTCTGTTGCGAAAGCAAACCCTTCAACAATATCATTCCCATCTTGTACATGGCAGGCGTGTCTCCGAGTGTTGCTGCTCTTTTATACCATTGCATCGCTTTCAAAGGATCACGTCGGGTCCCTCCACCTTCTTCGGTCCCCAGTTCACAGCACACAGCCACTCGATATGCACTCTGGGGATGATTGAGCTTGGCGGCCGACTGGTAGAGAGAAAAGGCCTCTTTCGCGTCCACAGCAAGTCCCAGCATTCCTTGTCCGTAACAATCGGCCAGATAGAACATTGCGTCTGGGTAGTTAGCTCCCACCAGTTTCTTGATCAGTTTATGTGCGTCGAAGATGTACTTTTCGCGGTTCTTCTGTGTGGTCTTCTGGTCGGCTGTCCCGTTCTCATCTGCAAGCACCCTAGCCGCCTCCACCATCTTCTTTGCAAGCTTCAACCCGAGAGCATGGTCGCTGGGACTCCGGAGATACATCTCGCGGAGGCTATTCAGCTCCTGAACAGTGACAGATGACGAAGGCCCTGAGGCCGATCCCTGTTGGTTCGGCTGAGCCGGTGGTGTCTGACCCGATGAGTAGCCGTTGCTGTCTTTGAGTCCTGGCCTCACTGGAGTAGGGTGAGCTGGCAACGCATCCGGGTTAAACTCCGCATTTGGAGTCGGATAGTGCCTGACGGGTACGGGATGTGCAGAGTTCGAAGCGTTGGGCTTAGCAGGGCCGTTAATGAGGTTGTCCTGGGTCGCTCTGCGCACTAGTGGGCCTGGTCCATACGGTTGTTGATACTGTTGGGCCTGTCCTGGGTGAGCATAGCCTTGCTCAGATGTCAGGGACCCTGCCGCTACAGTTGGTGCCGAAGGAGCTCGGTTCTTTTGGGCATAATCCTGATCATATGGGTTCATCATCTCGTAACTTTGTTGCGGTGGTCGTTGCGCATTGCTTGTATGTGGTCGGACGGGATACTGATCCTGGCTAAACGATCGATAGGGCTGGCCATTGTTTGGTAGTGGAGGTCTCGAGGCGTCGTTGTCCATACTCGGCTTGATCCCATTCCGACTGGCAGTACGAGGTGGCGGATATTGTGAGCTAGACGCATCTTGAGGCTGCATGTCCCCGTATGCACCCCTTGCAGGTCCTCCCGCGCCGAAAGTCTCCTGTCCGCCGTAAACTCCTCGATAGGAAGCGGCCTGTGCAGGATTATCGTTTCTGCCAGCTGTCGCAGGTTGAGAGGAGCCAGGCAAGTCAAACGAGAACTCAGCCAAAGGAGATGTGGTCTGATTAGGAGGGGAAATAGACTGTTTGGTATCAATCTGACCTGGAAACGACCCTGGCACAGGATAAGTCGGTTTCTGGTAGACGTTGCGATCGAAACCAGTTTGTTGATTTGCAATGATATTGTCTTCCGTTTTCTCATTCACCCCAGTCGGAATGGCATCAAAATTTGGGATTTGACTGTCTCTCAACTGGCTGACTTGCCCGTGGCCGTTAGGAGGAAACCCTCGGTATGGGTCCGTACGAAGGTCCTCTTGAGGTGCAGGTCCCGGTCCATATCCCTGAGGAACACGGTCTATGGGTGAAACGTGTGCTCTTGACTGAGGGATGAAGTCTGATGAGTAGCCCTCATCGAAAATGTAGTTATTTGCCCGACGATCTGGAGGCGGATGGTTGCGTGGAGCGTTGTAGTTTGCCGGCGGACTGAACTCTTCCATTCCACTGGGGGGGCCAGGACGAGGTCCGCTTCTATTCCCTGGCGGTGGGTGACCACGCGGAGGGCCTGCTGGCCGCATTCTCGGACTGTTCATCCCGCCCTGCTGTCTGGGGGCCGGTGGCTGTTGATATTTCATCTCCGGAGAGTTTCGACCAGGCGGCATTGGATACGTTTGTTGCGGAAGCGGCGGAGGCACCATATCGGGGGGACGGTCATGGCGGTCATGCGAGGTCCTGGGACGAGGCGCTTCTTTTCTCGGGCTGTTGGAGGTATGAGGTCTTGCTTCATAACCTCCACTAGGACGGCGTTCGTTCATGTCGAGACTGGCCATGGCGTTGTCCAGACTGCCGTGTCTCTCGTGCCTCATCCTGTCTCCTGGTCTCTTTTTAGGAGGGAAAGCGCCGAATGGATTATCCCAGGACAAGTTCTTAGGGGACGTGGGTTCAGTCAAAATGCGGTCGCGGGCTACAAAGCGTCAGCGTTCAACGTCGATCGAACAATACCACTTAATTCTTACGCCTGAGTCTCCTGGGAGGCGTGGAAGGCTCTGCCCACTGGTTCCTCGGTGGTCTCTGTGCATTGGAATGGCCGTGATCTGGTGGTACTCTGCCTGACCCATTGGTGCGATAGCGTTCGTCATATGAATATTGCCTCGGAGCAGGGGCACCTTGATCGAATTGGCCTGGCCGAGGGGGTTGCGAATACCCATCGCCACTTTCAACGTAGCGTGCCTCATGGCCGTTTGGCTGGGGATATTGATTTTGACCTTCCCACTGCGCGTTGCGATCATAAGCAGCCGGGGCCGGCGCCTGGCCTGGCCCATAACCATTCCGACTCTTTGGATAGTCATTGTAGCGTTGGTTGTCCTGATTGTAGGGACCCTGACCTCTCCCGTTCTCTTGCCATTGTCTCTGATTATTTCCACTGTCGTATTGGTACGAGGGAGCTGGGTTTTGTTGCCATTGCTGGCCGTATTGGTTGCCGGTCATCATCGTGACGGACAAGCACCAGACCTTGTCTCAGTCCGCCTAGAGAAAACCTGCTTCCCACAAAACCCGCATCGACAGACAATACCTGGTTGTTGACGACGAAGTGCCGCGGGAAAGAGGTGTAATTAATGTTCAGGCTGGATTTCAAGTCCGCATCGGGCTGTTATCAAATCAATGTGGCCGCGAGAAACGCCGACCAAATCTTCAGCCGCAGCCAAGCGACAAGAGGTGACGAACAGCCAGTGCAAGCAGATTGAGCGCGACCGAGGGGAGGGACGCAGCAACTACACCGATAGCGACCAAGGGAGCGAGCGGTGCAGATATGTGTATGGTCGAGTGAGTTGCAAGTAAAAAGGTCGGGTTGTTTGTTGCGGATGGACGCCGCTCTAGCTAGTTCACATTGGCCTCTTCTGGGCTGTTTTGGCCCAGACTACTGCTGAACGGCACAGATTTGTTTAAAAGTTCCGGAGGCGCCACCAGGGCTTCACAGGGGATCGGGACGCGATCACCCGGGCTCGGCTAAGGCTTCTGGTGCTTCTGCCTTTTAGCTTAAGGGGGAGAATGAGGGAATGAGGGGGGGTGACGAATACTCGTGAGCGCAGCCCATAAAACCCCAAGGAAAATCCAACGTAATATTATGGACTTTTTTTACTTGCCGTGGGATCCAATCTTCAGCCACTATCTGTTTGTTGCAATCCCCAGGTGTGGAATCCCCGTTAGACCGATTTAACTCGCAACAATTGATTGACCTTGACAAAGTCGGAACCTGACCAGGCACGCAGGACAAAGAGCGAACCCCAACCTTTCATGCCAGGCACAAGCCCATGATTCGCCGCAACCAGACCTCTTTGACGACCGACCTCCCGACGATCGCCCGCTAAGGGAAGCCTCTCGAACGGGCTTGCGGGCTATGAAGCCACCGATCTCCACGTTGACGAGACGCGGCCCAGACTGCTGGGCCATGGGAGATCCTAGAAAAAGCTGGCTCCCATTGCTCCCGAAGATGGTAGGGTGGTGGGCTGTGCAAGCAAAATGCGTGGAAATCAATCATCAACCGCTATTGGGCTTTGCGTACCTAGTATACGAGTATTCTCGTCCCTTTGCCTACCCAGCATACGGCCACACAAACTCTGGATCATCGAACTCTACTTTGAAACAAGATTTGTCGCAGAACTACACTGGCTTGATTGGACAGCACTGTGGCTTGAAAATCAAGATGCTAGAGGTCTGCCGCCTGCGCCACACCTCGTACCCTTTCTTGAGATTTTATTAGACGATCAAACGGCGATGGTTTGGTGCTCGATCCTTGCTGGCTTCAGAAATCCCCCATTTAGCGAGAGCACCATCACCCCTTGACCCGGGCCACGACTTTCCGGTTACAGAACATCCTGACATGAAGCTCCCCAGCTGAATCATCTCGCAGGTCTTGGAGTATTAGTAGCCACTGTCACCATTTTCAGTCGCATATCAGCCGATAGTCGAATCCTACTCTTTCCGTGTACTCACACAAGGTTCAACGCACATACCACATGTCACAGCGTAGGGCTCGGACAATTTGACCACATCCCCAATTTTCAGAATCAGGCGTTCAACCGTCACCTTGACCAACCCGCTCAGCTCATTTCAACCGTTGTGACCGAGATTTCAATAGCACCAAACCCATCGGCCTGGTAGACCTTTAGCAAACCCTTCGTGGTCAACGCAAGAACGTGAAGTAGAGCTTGGGCACCCACGATCTGCGAGTTCTGGGTTGGTGGGAGGAGCTCGTCTAATGTGATCGTCATCTCTTGTCCTGCATTTCTTCCCTCTCCAGTACCATCTTGCTGTTCTGCCTTCTCTTGGACTTTCGTGTTGACAAAGGTAAGGAAATTGTATGCTTCATTCTCCAGAGTTGCAGCCACCCATTGAGACTGTGCAGCCGTTTGTGTGTCGACAGTCACGGAAGGTCCGTAGAGTTCGAAATCCAGATCAATGTCGGCACCCAGCTGCGCGTCTAGATCTGCGAAGACGTCCTCATCGCTCGTGACTCGTGACGTGTCGAGAGGTTCCCGACTGCTATGTCTGGACAGCGAAGCTATCCCTCTCCCGAGAAGTGGACTCGCAGAAGTCAGACGCAATCCTCGTCTACTTATAGCAGAAGGTGGTCCTAGCTCTATGCCGCCATGGAGACTACCGATGCTTGAGCCCAATCTCGAGATAAAGCCGCTCCCCAAAGGCTGTGCCGAGCTGTGACGAGATCCAGAGATATTCCATGGCATGCCGGACGATTGGTCAAGTAAGGATGGAGGGCCCTGGCGACCAACCTCAGCTTCAAAACGGAAGTCCTCGCCTGGCAATATCAACCCGTTGTCATCGGTATATGGGAATCCCATGTCATCTCCGCGAGCGATTTCACCTTCGGATACTGTCCTGGCTCTTACTCGCCTGTCGTCCTCTCGTTCATCCTCGTCAAGGGAACTACTTCGTGATCTTTTCTTTCCGTGTCCCAGTTCGCCGCTCAACATGTCCCACAGCGACTGACCACTGAAGACGGTGAAAGGGTGTGGGACTCTGTCATCCCCGAAACAAGAGGCAACATTCCCCAATCCTTGCTGTAGGATCCAGAATTTGGCGTTCTTCTTGGCCTCGAAGCAGGCTATTTGACTCTGTCTGGTACGAGAAGCAGCTGCCATGTTGGCAAGGTAATTCTGGTTCCACTCGTTGAGATCTCGATTACTCAATTCTGTCTGTCGATCTGGTCGGATTGCCTTCACACTGCGTCCGCGACGCTCGGGTGCCTCTGCTGTCTCTGAGCTTTCCTCGAACGTTTGGACGGAGGAGGTTGCTTGTGTCCCTTGGCGGAATCCTTCGTCTTCAAGCTCCGGGGTCAGAGGGATTTGAGGAGCTGGTGGTAAGAGGGCTGGTTCATCGTGTCCAACAACATCCATTTCGTCGAAGTTTGGTAATAGCTCATCATCTCTTGCGCTTGGCGGATGTACGCTACCATCCCAGTCACCAGGCATGAGGTCGATTTGCCGTTGTTGCCCAGCATCGGTTGGTCGCTCGAGGCCCAAAAGACTCTCCGGGACAACGGGCTGGAGAAAGCCATCCTCATCAACGTCAAAGAGTGGTTCATGCATGATGGCAGGTTCTTCTTCAAAGACCGAATAAGGATCGGCCCTGCTGCCAGTCTGCATGACAGAGCTTGTCTCTCCATGGATGAACACATCGAGGCCGCCACTGGCTCCAGCAGGCGTATCGAAGGAAGGCATCTCAATCTCAAATTCGTCTGTCTCATCGTGGAGAGAGTCGCTGGTCTGGCTTGAAGGAAGTGTGAAAAAAGACGAGGCGCCAATGGAGGGGCTGGAGTCTTCTGAGGCGAATCCAAATGCGGAGAGATCGAAGTGGATGTCAAGATCTGGATTGAAATATGGGTCTTCTGGGAGGTTAAGTTGTTCCGGCCTTGTGATAAAAATGAGTCTCATAAGGATGAAGGAAGCATTTGTCGACTGACCGCGTCTTTCCAACATCCGGGTCCAGCTCCATCTCTTTCAAGACATGGACCGTGTCCCTCATCTTGTCTCTCAAACTCGTGGCGTCTGTCAATACGTAATCGCATTGTCGCTGAAATACGCGAGAGACTCCAAACAGCAGACTGCCTTGTAACCTCAGCGCCAGGGGCACCTCGGGCTCCGTGATGGTCTTGCATGCCTTCTGAAGGTCGACGTCAAGGATCGCGCGACGAGATACCTTTTTCAGGTTGGACTTCGAGCCAAGTGTTGCCACGAGCCTGGTGAAGAAGTGAGCGCGTGTGGCAAACATTCAGAGAGTGTGTGAGGACTGTCAGAGCGGGAGACTTCGGTCGAGGGGATGGATGAGACGGGGAGTAGGAAGTTTCATACCAGATGGTCGCAACGCCATACTGACGATTTGTCAAGACTGTTCAAACCGGACAGAAAGGTTGTGGTCAGCGTTTCGTCTCGAGTTGTGTCTTTCAACTGCTCGGCTGACCAGAAAGACGAGGACTCACTCTCATGGCTGTAGAACATGTCGCCTCAACAACGGTGAATGTCCTGCCGCATACAAACTTCCTCGAGAATTCCTTCGAACCGTGACGAGTCCGAAGAGGCCGGCTAGAGGACGTGGGCTGCGGCTGCGGTTGGTAGCAAACCAAAGGGGGAGATCAGAAGTAGGAGCTGGTCAAATGGTCAAGTGCGGTGAGGCATGATCTGGAGAGGGTTGCAGATTGGGAGGCGAGTTGGAAAGTGAATGATTTCAGAACGCGAATCCAGAACACGCATGCCATTTCTGCCAGACCCTGTCTCGCTGTGTATGTTCCTGGTATTATCGCCTGTTCCAAAGGACAATGTGCAAACTGGGGTTCTTTTCCAAGCCTGCCATGTTGACAAACCTTTCTCAACTGTTCCCTTCCCATCTCTCCCAACCTGAATTATACCCATGAACCTCTCCTTCTCATCACAAGATTACAACGTCCTCTTCCAAGAATCGACTCCAAAGACAGACACTGGCCTGGATCCCTTAGCCGCAAACCTCCTCGGGCTCCTTCTACCGGATTCTCCCAGTTGCGTGCTGGTCTCCACACAATGCTTGAGGCGCACAGACTGTAACCAGATGCTCGGTTGGAAAGACACAGCGAAAGTGAGAGCATCCATTGGGCCCATTGCCCGATACTGCTCTTGTGATGTGAATGAACCAACCCCGGACGTGAGGAGTGCATTTTTGACCAAAAAAAGGACATAGCTCACAGGATGGAACTTGTATGATTAAGCCGGAATTTGTATTCGAATGCTTTTTGGGGTATTGTATCTTGCCGTCGGCGCCTTCGTATATTCTAGTCTAGGTCCATTTCCCTACTCAATGGGAATACCCTCGTACTCCCCATACCCCAGAGCCAAATTCATGTTTTCTGTGCAGATAGAATGTCAGTATATGTAGGGGGCATCACGATTCAACCGGGGACCTGAGACTTACGAAGACACTGTGTTGCTGCTCCTTTCAAAAGGTTGTCAATTGTTGCGCAAACGACCACTCTCTTTCCACTGCTGTGGACTGCAAACCCGCCAACTTCCACACCGTGCTTTTTGGCGATGTTCTTCACAAGGGGCGCTTCACCAATAATCTTCAACAGTTTTTCCCCGGCATAGCGGTCTTGATAAAGTGTTCGGATGTCGCGAGACTTCATTTCTTGGTTGAGCGGGATGTTAATTGTATGATGGATGCCCTGGAACCAGACCGCAACATGGGGTATAAATGCCACCGATGTACCTAGTTGGGTGGAGATCTCGCGTTCATGGATATGGTCCGTGAGACTGTATGGAATGATATTGTCTGTGAGATTGTTGACGTCGTTCTTCGGAGACGGTTTGGTGCCTGCACCTGAATACCCTGAGACGCCGAACACTGTTGGTTGACCACCCAAGTATGGCACCAAAGGCGCAATGCCTAATTGTGCGGCTGTAGCATAGCAGCCTGGGTTCGAGATTCTTGTAGCCCTTGCAATGGCGGACCGGTCAACTAGTTCCGGTAGACCATAAGTCCAGTTCGGATCGAATCTGTAGTCAGCGCTTAAATCGATAATGACACTGTTTTTGCCGACCTGGTCGATGGCATCGACAAATGGCTTGCAAACGCCGTTGGGCAGGGCCATAACCCAGCAATCCACATCTTCATTCTCTTCCATTTGTCGAACGTCTTCCACGGTCAGGTTTTCGTAGATGATTTCGCGCCTGTCATATCCCTCAAGCTTCCTGCCAGCGAGCTCCCGCGACGATACATGACGCAGATCCATGTGGGGATGGCGATTAAGGAGGTCGATAAGAGCTTTTCCGGTATAGCCTCGAGCTCCAATAAGGGCTACCCGCGAAGGCTTGCTGTTGGAGCTGTTCTTGGAACCAAGAGGCGGGTTCGGATTGGTTGTGGAGTATGTGCGAATAGAAAGGGCAGGCTTGGTGACATATCTTGCTTGTCGTGCTGAACGTAATGGATTCGCCGACGTTGAGAAAGTCCGCTTCTGTGTCACCCCTTTAGTAGTAGTGTTGGCTACATTGGATGCCGCTCTGGCTGCACGGTGCAGCTTGGCCTCGAGATTGATATCGCCAAACAACTGACGGCCGTGTTTCGTGAATTCGACCATAAGGTCCTTAACCTCATCGCTGGTCTCAAGACCGTACCAGAAGAGGACTTCGCCATCTTTGGAGAGACTACCATCAGCCTTGTCGAAGAACCAGGTCAAGTTCTCATCGTCTTCCTTGACAGTCCACATCAGCTTGGGGAAATCCTTCTTGATGGCGGCGAAGATATTGTCTGCTACGTTGGTAAGCCAGCCATTCCTGGTGATGGTCAGGGTTGCCAGCTGAGCCAATGTTGTCTCTGCACTTGGTGGCAGGACAAGGGCAAACGCCTCCATTGGTTCATCGAAGTAAGCCTTGAAGTCTCGTGTATGGAGGAACTTGATGTAGCGATCCACAATGGCAGGGGCGTCAAGTCCGGGCCGATCACGAATGAGGACTTCCTTCAGTTTGTCGAGGTCTTTAAACTGGTCGATAGAGGTGTTGACATGAACTTTGTTGCCCCGTCGGATCAGAGTACCGGCTCCAGAATCCGTGAACAGCTCCTTTTGCAAATCAGCTGGGTGAATGATGGCAACGCTCGAGCTGCGAGGCAGATCCATAAGGAGCTCCTTCATCTCCTTGATCTTCAACCTGGTACCGTGCCGAACCCACCACTGTTGCATGAGGTGATCATATTCTTCATCCAAGTTGATGGCGGAGATCTTCTCCTTCGTGTCGCCATTGAACAACCCACCCTTCTCGGAGAGGTAGACAATCTTCAAAGGCTGGAGCGCTCGCGCTAGCTCCCCGGCCGCGACATCTGCATTCACGTTCAAGACCTGGCCGTCCGATGTCTCGGCCATGGACGTCAAGATGGGCAGGCATCCTGCCTGGATAGCAGCTTCGATTGGTCTCTTATCAACACGTCTGATCTTGCCCACGAGGTTGTATTTCTCCTTGTCAAGATAATCCGCTGTAAAAACCCCAGAGGTGATTGGTCTGGCTCGAACACCTAGACGCTCCAATTCCTCTACCAGCCGTAAATTCTCCTCGAGAAACAGCGCTCGTGCGATGCCCAGTGTCTTGGGATCTGTAACCCGAATTCCGTCCTCAAAATGTGGTTCGACCCCGGAATCCTCCAGAATCTTGTTCAGCTGTGGCCCAGCACCGTGAACCACCACTGGATAGAGCCCGACATGGTTAAGGAATGCAAGGGCGGAAGACAGAGTCTGCAGATGCTCGGTCAAGATGGCTCCGCCGACCTTGATGACTGCAAATTGCTGGGACGAAACCGAGCTGAAGTGTGACAAGTACTGTTGAACCTCCCTCTTGGAGCCAATGTTACTGAGCAACTGTACCACCGTTGACCTCGTCGAGGGATACGATCCCGACGGGGAGGAATATGTTCGTCGGGAAGATGTCTGCTGTACAGCGAGAGGGGTATATGAAGGTCTAGCAAGGCGGAGAGCTCGAGAACGAAGGGTCGAGGACGCTGCCCGTCGAGTGACTGCTCGCGCAGTAGCAGCTCCCAATGCCGACATCGTGGGCTTTCAGGTCATGCGGCAGCTGATAAGATCTATGGAGTTCAATGTCCGATGTCGGTGACGCAGAAAGTCTTTGTCGCAATATGACAGTCGAGTTCGAGGAAGAGGGGAGATCAAAACACGGGAAAAGGACAGAGAAAACCCAACTGCAGGTCTATTGAGAGAAACGCCAAAGAACCATATGCCCGAGATCAGAGCTGGGGGAAGAAAAAACTTCTGCAGCGTCGTCTTGGGTCAAAATTTTCTTTGCACTCGCAGCTGTTCGATAGCAAAATATTTTGCGGGGTGATGATTGTTGTGCATGAGGTTTGCCTAGTGGCAGAACCAACCACAACCCCAACTTCGAAGCCCACCAGCCGTGCCAGCCCAGAAACCCATTGCCAGCCGTGCCTGTGCGGCCACCGCTACTCCGAATTAATGGGTGGCGTGCCCGGCGCTGCGACCAACTCTACGAGGAACGGCTGCATCTGAGGGAAAAATTTTTTGTCTGGAAAATTCTCTTCGCCGCCTTGCTGCATGATGAACGCATGGCACTGGCATTCTAGCCTGAAGAGGCCGATCGTCATTTGCAAGCACTCGTTTCTTTATCTAGCGGACCTGGACTGTGCTCTTCCAACTGTGCAGGCGTTGAAAAATTTACTCGAGCCTACCCCAGTCGAGATTCTTTGCTCAAAAGTCGTATCTCGCGAAGAACGCAGTGAAGGCTTTGAAATTGCGCTGGAAGTGTTTTATAGATGACGGGATCATCCTTAGACGGCTTCTGAAGTTGCCTTGCCTATTGTGCGAGTACTGGGGAAAACTGATAAGTGAGCCTGCACGAATAATCTTCCCTCGGGATATCAGCAAGATAAAACATTGCAGGGATTCAATCGCAGAACTCATGGCAGAATCCATTTTATTGAACGCCCAACTGACAAGGGGAAAAAAGCCCAGTGTGCATTATTGTAACAAGTGTAGCTCCATCCCATCCTATCGTCCCGCCATAAGCGCGCTGCTTGCGAGCACTGTTCAGAAAGAGCTCTCGTTCACGCTTTCGCTTTCGCTGTTGTTCTCGCTTTCACGTGTTTCCTCCAACGTTGGGAAGACTGTGCTGTCGTAATGTTCCAAGTAAAAAGAAGGCAGGTGTCGTTCAAAAAGGGGTTGTGCGTTTATCGTGTGGCGACCACTGAAAAAGCAAGTTAGCACTCGCGTAATGCATACGAAGCGAGGGGAAGAGGCATACCTGCTGGGACAATAATGACAATGAGTAGCACGATGATGCCGACGATCAAACACATGCGCATCTTCATGTCCTTCCACCACATCTGTTTTCGGACTCGGTTTGCCCCTCTGCGGAAGCCCTGTGCGGAAACGGCGAGGTTGTCGGTCTTATCTTGCAGCGAGTCCAGTCGCTCGCCTCTTTGCGATACCTTGTTGATATTCTCACGCATAACACCGACGGTATCATCGATTTGCTGTGAGATGAACATGTCAGCTTTCAGCCCAACCAGAGGATGAGGATGGCGAGTCGAGATTGGATAAGATCCTATCATTTCAACGATGAATCTATGGCAGTTGACAGCGTTCGACTCGGTGGGTTTCAGCCAGCGTGCGCTGATGGAATTCGCAACATAAGATCCATCTGCGACACTGCAGCCGGCAAGATCGACCGTCACTCAACCCCAATATCGTCTTTCGTATGCCCTGGCATCTGGGCCATCAATCACGTACCGCTTGCAAGGCAGCTGTTCTCTGGTTGCTGGCCGGCTGTGCGCCGCCTTGTCCGCCAGCAGGTATATAGGGATCGTAAGGCGCTTCTGAAGCCATTTTGATAGTGCTGGTCTGGGAGAGGGATGAGGTAGGATTGAGAAAGGGACGAAGTCGGTAATAGGGGGTTTCAGGGGTGCCTAGATGGTGACAACGGTCGACAGATCGGAGTAATGTGCGTAGAGAAACAAGTTCTTGGATGAGGTTGAGAGTCTTGGGATGCTGATGGGGATGAAAGATAGATTGAGACGGAGGTTGGAAGTGCAAAGCTGACGAGGGCTGGTAAATCTGGCGCTTGGACCTGCGACAAGCGCACCACCGATGCTGGGAAGAGGCCGGGCCCCGACCAGGGATTCTGGATTTCTGAGACGAGCAGCAGCGCCACCAACTTGTTTCAGTTCACCAGCGCAAGCACGTGATAGATAACGGCGCAGTCAAATACTTGTAGTCACCCAACTCCAGGAGAATTGAATAACGAAATACAAGGACTCACTGCCCAGTACCTACTCAAGTCACGTACAACTACTAAATATTCCCAAGAACACGGGTTCGGAGGATGTGGCAATTTACTAGTTAATTACCACCCACCACCACCTTCAGATTCCGGCTGACGGATGATGGCTTGTCTTCGGCCTTCCAAGTAAAAAGAGGCTGTGCTCTAGGCGACCTTACATCAGAACCACTTGTTCATTACTAGGATTAGTATTCGCAACTTTGTGCAGAGTTAGACCGCCAGGCTGCACGATTTGCGCACTGATCGCTGCCTCGGTTTGCCGAACAATCGTGCATTAATGGCGCACTTCACCCCATGTTGACTTGGATCTCCTCGTATCATGGCACATATGGTTCTCTGATTCGAATTGATTGCACTTAGCGACAACCTAAATGGCTCAGACGACGTTGTTTGTGGCCAGCTTTCAGTGTAGCCTAGACTCATCAACTCCCGTGTTTTCGTACGAGTACAATATGGATCCACGGCCTTGAATCCTGCTTGTCAGTGCTAGGGGATGCGCGTGGCCCCCCCTGCAAACCCCTAAATCGAAAAGTGGTGGTTGAGCTCACTCGCCAATCAGAGCCCGCCAAGTACAAAGAAATGGTGATGCATCATGAACCTCGACCGCGACGCCCGCACCTTTAACCTCATCTATTTCAGGTGCAGACCATTGCAGACCGTGGTTTCGTTGATTTTGTGTCTGCTTACCGTCCTGTTCCAATCACCATCCAATGATTTCTCGGCGAATGTGTTGTAATTGAGCCAGGACCAAGGCGTCCACAGTTTCCCTCGAACGGCCCCGTTGAACGACGGTCGAGAAGACAAGTTCAACCACAATGGCTTCACGAGGATGGATGTACACTAAAATGGCCGGAGTGTGAGTCCAACTTTTTCCTCCGACTGATTTCATGCTGACGTCTCTGCGCTACCCTAGCTTGGTGCTCTGCTGCGCTGGAGGTCCAGCATTGATGTACTAGTAAGACTTGACCTCACCCGCCGACTTCCTCGTTGTCTCCCAGCTATTGCCTCGCTCAGATGATGTGTGTGCTTGAGATGCCACGGTATCTGACATGCGTGCCTCAGCGTAACACCCGCGGAGGGCGAAGTCTTCAAACGCTTCAACCCCGATCTCCAAAAGCGCAATCTCGAACTGCGAGAACAACGGCTCAAGAACAACGAAGAGTTCGTCTCCAAATTAATCGAATATTCCAAATCAGATAAACCGGTATGGATTGTCGCCGCGGAAGCTGAGAAGAAGGAAAAGGCCGACAGGATAAGAAAAGAAGCAGAAGAGGGAACGGATAGAGGGAGTATTCGGGAGCAGATGAGACGAGCACAAGCGGAAGGGAAGTAAAATTCTGTCCATTGCATCTGGGAGGCGATCTTGGACCAAGCCATCTGTACAAAATTCTGCAAACAATACGTTGAAAGTACCCCCAGTTACCCGCGCTCGCATGAGATTTGCGCAGATTTGGATGGATTGTTGCTGTTCCCCGAACGCCCATTGCCGAATGCTGGACCACCAACTCCTCCCTGGGCGTCGGCAAATTCTTTCTCATGAGAGGGAATGCCAGCTTCCCTAAGACGCCTCTTCAGCTCGGGGTTGCAAACATTCTCCAGTATGCCCCAAGCATCTAACCATCCTTGCTAGACACAAACAAATCCACAGCCGCCAATCTCAGGCAGCGCAACGCCGTGGTGATGCAGTTCGCCAAATCATAGCGTATGTCCTCCGCTGTCTAGCTTTCGCAAGCAATGCTGGTCGTGTCGAACACAACAATCTGAGGTCTAAAGAACAATCCACCAGGCGCCTCCCACAATGAAGAAAATCAACATAACAGTCAAGATCGCGGCGCCAGCCTTATCCGCTGTGGTAACCTTCTCTTGGTTCAGATCCTCTGGACCAATGGGGCTTGTGGTGCCAGCATTGGGATCTCCCTTACTGGTTCCACCGGAGTCTTGAGTGACGGGACCAGCAACCTGGGTGACCAGATTGGATTGAATGACTTCCAGGGCTGACATTTGTTCACCAACCCCAGTACTGCCATCGAATTGGCCCACCCACCATTTCATTCCACATGAAGTGCCATTGATGCCTCCTGTGCAGGTTGAAGCTGCAGCTGCAGCCGTTGTTTCCAAGATGGGTTTCAGGAGAGGATACGTGAAGGGTGCTCTGACCATAGTTGCTGCCATCCACCGAGCCAGGTAAGCCTTGAACGAGCGCTGATCGATATTACAGGTATCGGACCCGTCGGGATTGACGCCTTCACATGCAACTTCCTTCAGAATATTGTCGTGCAGGAAGACGTTCAGCCTTCCGATGATCCCATTTATCCTTTCCTCCCAAACCGGACTACCTCCTGTCTGCGTTGAAAAAGGTCAGTAAGACAGGTCGAATGACCGTGGAAGGTCGACTTACGAAGTTGTACATGTTGGCTGCCCCAACCAGAAACGTGCCGGCGTTGTATGTCCATTGGATGTGATCGAGTTGGGTGCAGTTGAGAGTATCATCACTCCCATCGAAAAAGTTGTACTCCGCGTCTCGCAACCCAACTGCTGAAACCCAGTCCCACATGCGATCTGCCCAATCGGCATACGTCTGGTTTCCGGTGTAGACCGCAAGGCGAGCACCCATGTTGAAAAAGCATCCGTTGGAGATGGTGTTCTTATAATTGTACCCGCCATTGAACGAAAAAATCTGCCACTTCAGTCCACCTCCACACGAGCTCGTATCCCATCGCGCTGCCTGCGTGTTGAAAACGGCCTGAGCAAGAGCCAGCCATTGTGGCTGGTCTTCTGGAGGATTGGGAAAGACGTTCTCTGCCGCAGAGAGAGCGGCCATTCCCCAGAAGGCTTGGTCGTCGTTCCCTTCAGTCTTGGTCTGGTTGGGTGGCATGAAATCTTTGTCAGGGCCAACTTGATGGAGCATGGCTTGGGTCGTGATCTCATTGAATGAGTCGTCTCCGGTGAAGTACCAGTAGTCAATGAGTGCTCCAAACATTGCGCCAGCTTCCCACCAGTAGTATGGAGCAGGAAGATTTCCAGGGACATCTCCAGGTCGGTAGCCTGTGTAATACGACACCATTTCATTCGCAACAATTTTCGCGGCGGCTTTGACTGAGTCGGTACTGGAGATGTCAAGCTCTATCGCAAGGGCACTTTGCGCCACTAGTATCGCTGATAACGCCACATGCAGGTTCTGTCTTCTTCGAAAGGGTTTCATTGTGATGGGAGAGATGCTGTGAGACGCGAGGAAATTTGCGCAGGCGGTGAAATTGAGGGAGGAACGGCTCTCTTGCGCCTTATCGCCAAAGAATCACCAGGAAAACTATTTGTTCTTCTATACGAGAAGTGATTGATGCCGCTTTGTTGGATTGGTTCGGTTGGTTGACGTGGGGGCGATCTTGATCCTTGCCGCAGATCCCAGATCCGCAGATGACGAGGCGGGCAGCCGTTAAAAGGTGGAGCAGAATAGCGAGTGACAGGTTGGTTTGGTGAGCAAGGGAGAGTAGGAGAGCGAATCTATTGTACAGAACAATTTTGGTCAGTTTGTCAGGAACCGGAGAAAGAACTTGCAGGACAGAGGAGATGCACGAAGGATAACATAGTCACCAGGGTGGAGTGGATTTTCTTTGATTCCTGTGTCCGGTTGTTCCTTGTCTTGTCTTGCATCTCGGGAATGCACGTTGCGTGACTTGCGACGCCCCAAGGACAGCCTCCCCCCCAACGCCGCGACCATAGCCGGGACGTGGCGGAAGCTTGGGGCGGTCTCCAGGCTCCCAGGTGAGCTCATCGGTACCTTAGGTATGCAACTTGGCGGCTATGACGCCTGGGCTGGAGGGACTTGGCGGGGCCCCCTTGACAGGAATGCCTTAACCCAGCACTCCGGAATGCAGCTAGATACGCACCTTGTGCGTCTGCCGTTACCCAAAGTGCGTAAAACACCAACTCCCAGCCTCTCCAATTGTTCACATTGTCCGTCTCTCACACCATGAATAACTCACTCATTGCCGCTACCTCGCACTCGATCGCTCCATACAGCATATGCTGCAGCTGAAGCCTGCATTTTCCAGCTATCTCTCGCTCCACCACTCCCTCGCCATCCCGCTTCTACTGCCCAGCCGCCGAGCATCGTGCCCAGATAGCAATTATGGCTCCTTACCTCCTGGTACACGTCACCACTGTTGCTCACAAGGCCTCTTCCAGGCTATCGGCCTTGGTTGACTCGGCGAGATCCTCAGAGATCCCACTTCTTTGACGAAGCCTACATCCCCTCGTGCCTCTTGTTTCTATCCCCTTTCCCATGTTCCTTACACTCCGAAACAGCCATGCGGATTCATCGTGTTTACCCCTTGATTAGAGTCTTGGATGCCCAGATCGCAGACTTTTTCGGGCCATGTCTCAATGTCCATGTAGGGGACGTGTCACGAGCGCCAATGGGCCCAAGACATTCAAGACCGCAGAGCCCTGCTTGGGCGAAGCCACCAGACATTCTCCCGGCTGCTCTCCGTCTCGCAGCCAGCGCCGAACGCGAATCGGACTGTCGTACCTTACATGAAGACACCAG